GTTGCAACATGGCATCCGAAACGTCAAACCTTTTATTAAAAGACGCACGGCAAAACCCGAAAGTTTCTAGTTTTAGTTCTAATCTTAGTTTAACCTGAAAGTGGTTTATAGATCTGTTGACTAATTAAGCCGAGGTTATTTGTGACAGAGGTTCAGTGATTTTGTTTGTTAACCGAAAACTGGCCAGCATATTGTAACGCCTTGGCGTGAGCGGCCTCGGTTCAGTGATTAAGATTATCTTAACCTGAAACTGATCATGATATTCTAGCAGCGCGTCCTGTTATCTAATTAAGCCGAATCGCTTATCAATATTCTAACGTCAAGGCCGCGAGTGGTCTCGGCTTTATCAGGTAAAGTTGTAGATCTATTGACTAATTAAGCCATGGTCCCAATATCCCATATGAAATATACTTAAGACAGAAATGAGCTCCGTAAGTATCGCCCACCGTTTCCTATGGTGGGCGAATATTTGACTTTCACCGATCAAGATAGATTTGTCGAACTGTACTAATTGTAAGAAAAAGAAAAATATTTACCTTTATCCTGAGCTGTTAATAAAGATGACGATAACGTTTGCTTTAATTTTCCAAATGTTGTATCGGCGGGACATTCTGTGGTCGTTTGTGCCGGTGTCGAATCAGTCGCAACAATCTGTAAAACAAAAAAAAAATTCTTTGATGGGGAAAACTCGAAAGGAAACTCAACCCGGGTGATTCGATAGAATTTCTAAAAGAAAACGACCGCGGCGAGTCGCGTTGCTTTGACGAAGAGGCAAACAATCGAAAACAAAGGGGTTGCCTTCCGCGGAACGTTCAAAAAGGGTCAAAGGGTCGCGCTTTTATTTTCGTGAGCAACGGCACGAGAAATTGGGATCGCCACAGAATCCGAACCTAAGCCGTTTTGTAATTAAAAATTAAATTTCTTCTTTTTCAACTATATATCGGATGTCTCTCTCGTAGAAAGGTAAGAAAAAGGTTTTATAAATCCCTGTAAAAGGATATATTATTGTGAGGTTGTGTATACTGGAAATTTATACTGCAAATTATTTATCATATATACAGATCTTCACAAGGTTATACTGAATGAATAAAACTAAAATAATTAAAAAGTTACGAGCTACTACCGATTAGTCTCATTCACAGCAGTTTTAATGTGTCATCATCGGCAAACAAAGAGTAGAAAGCGGAATAAGTAATTTAGCTCTAGCAGTCGCAGTTACACTTGGAAGGTTACTAGGAGAGAATTCGAAGTGATACAAATTATTTTCTTCCATTTCTTTCAAAAATCGCATTTTGTTTCTGCTTTTAAACTATGTATATCATCTATACAACAAGTTTTCACCATATTTTTGACAAGGTACGTTTTTACAGAATAAAGTTTTCATATAGATTTCATCGCGACTCCTTCAAAGTCTGCATTAAATCTTAATTTGGTCTTCTGGCTCTTTAATCGCTATCAAGTTGGAATCCAGACAACTCCAAATAAACTCTATATCATATCCGAATCTAGTCTCGGAATCAAATTTTCCATCAGGATTGCATTAATACTGCTTTCAGGAATATACCAAGACTCCATCAAGGTCAGCATCATAATAACTATTATACTATTTAATAAATAATAAAATAACTTCTACTTGCTTTATTTAAATATACAGTCGTACATGTTTCAGGAAATTATTCCCATCTTCAGCGACAAGCTATTAAAATAATGAAAATCACATTAGATATTAATCTTATGGTAACATTTAAAATCAAATAACTAGAATTAAAAATGAAAAGTGAACTCTGAACATTATTAAAAAAGAACTCACCGTCAGGAACCGTAAGAAGGATCACAAACCAAGCAAAACATATAAAAAACAATAGTTTTCTAAAGGAAAAACCATGTTAAAATGAATTCAAAATATATTAAAATTTTTTAAATGGCGTTAAAATTACGTTAAATCTAAGACAAAAAGGAAATAAAATTAAATATATTAGAGAATAAAAGAAAGAGAGTCTTACCTATAAAAATATAAATAACAAATCAAACATTAAAATTAAATTGTAAAAAACATATAAGGTATAACATTAAATTTGGTTTGTTCGTTTGGAGGATTGAAAGGATTGAAAGACACTGAAGGTGAAACCAGATATATTCCAAAAGGAACGAAAAACAGGAAAAAAAGGAAAAGACCCCCCCCCAGGACAAAGAAAGAATATATGAAAAGGAAACATCAGGGTAACTAGTTTCAAGACTGCGGAAATATTTAACAAATACAAAAACATAAAATTCAAAAAATCTTGTACATCCTAAATAAGATAATTAAACAATGGTTTGTCATTATTATAAATTTAGTCATTAATAACATTAAGTTTATTGTTCTTTTTATGTTTATGAATCTCCAATAATTCCAATACATCCAATTTGTAACTTTTTTGGCATTTATGAATTAATTTTACATCTTTGTAATTTATTACATGACCTGTCTCTAGTTTATGTTTGAAAACATTGGATTGAGCTTTATTTTTATGTTCATTAATGCGTGTTTCCAGTTTACGTCCAGTTTGACCTATATATATACTATTGCAATTGCAACACTCAATAGAATAAACCCCACTATCTTTCATTTGATTATTTTCTTTTATATGATGATTGGAAAGTAAATTATATAAAGTGTTATTATTTGAATATGCTAATGAAATATTATATTTCTTAAATAAGAAATTGCTTTCTGCGGAAATAGAGTTATAAGGAATAGATTTGTAAATTGAAGTATTTATTGTTTTAATGTATAATGGATCTTTCTGTTGTTGAATTCTAATTATAAGTTTATCAATAATTTCTTTTGGGAAACCATTATTTTTCGCTAAATTATATATATAATTAAATTCCATATTTCTATTTTCAACAGATAAAGGGTAATCAATACATCTATTAATAAGGAATCTGAAATTTGCCAATTTATGATTTAATGGATGAGCAGAATTAAAAGGTATAGTAGATGGAATCATTGTAGGTTTTCTAAAAATGTTATAAGTTATATTTTCATCTGTCCGAGTGATTTTTAGATCTAAAAAATTTATACTTTTTTCTATTTCCATCTCATAAGTAAAATTAAGTTTAGGATGAATATTATTAAGAAACTCACTAAATTTAATAATCGAATTTTCATCACCTTCCCAAACACAAAAGACATCGTCTACATACCGTAACCAATTTGAAATGTTATGTCTAAAAGGATTAGTATTATTCATTATAAAATCTTTTTCTATGTGATTTAAAAAAATATCTGACAATAAACCTGATAGAGGCATTCCCATCGGTAAACCTTCTGAAATGTGAAAGTATTCATTATTAAATGAACAATAATTTTGGGTGACTAAATGTTTGAGTAACATATTTAAATTTTTGACTGTATTTTTATCATTAAAATAATCATTAAACATATTAGATACTAAATTTAAAGTTAGATCAATAGGTACATTGGCATATAAATTGGTGATGTCAAAGGAGACTAAAATTTTATTTTTGTAATTGAGCATTTTAGTTTTATCTATGAAGTTAATAGAATTTGAGATTGAATATGTAGGTTTAAAATCTATTTTCTTAAAAATTATCATTAAAAATTCGGCTATTTTTGTTGTTGGTGAAGAATTAAAAGAAGTAATGGGTCTGATAGGTATGTCAATTTTATGCATCTTAGGTAAAGCATAAAGTCTCGGTATTTTCGGATTCATGTGCATAAATGTTGAGCTGTTAAAGAAACAATTTATTTTATTTTTAAGGAAAGGCGTAAATTCAATCAATGTGTCCTTGCATAGATTAATTATTTCTCTCGTTTTTCTAACTATTCTATCAAGTGGATTGTTTTTTAATTTATTATAGAAGTTATTTGACATAAAATCGTAAGTCTTTTGTATGTAGTGTTCTTTTTTCATAATTACAATACCCGCTCCTTTGTCTCCCTTTACAAAAATGGAATCATTTTCTTTTAGTTTGTCCCTTATACTTTTTATTACTTTCCATTCAGAATAATTAATTTTATTATGTTTAGTAATTTTACTTTTTGAATGTATGAGGAAAGGTATTAAGTCATTTTTAATATCATTTAGTTGTGGGTGACCTTTAATAACTATATCAAAATCTATAGCAATATTCTCAATTTGGTTTGTGTTATATAATGCATATTTATGTCCCTTGTCTAATAAATCTATCTCATCATTATTGAAAACTATTTCTGATAAATTAGTTATTTGTGACGTTGTATTATTTATGTTATTGTAAAACTTAGAACTAAGAATTTTTTGTTTTACACATTTATTGTTCCTGAGGTTGGCCAACTATATGTTCAGAGTTCACTTTTCATTTTTAATTCTGGTTATTTAATTTTAAATGTTACCATAAGATTAATATTTAATGTGATTTGCATTATATTAATAGCTTGTCGCTGAAGATGGGAATAATTTCCTGAAACATGTACGACTGTATATTTAAATAAAGCAAGTAGAAGTTATTTTATTATTTATTACATATTTAACTTGCAACATGGATTCCAATATATTATACTATTTGACGTAATAATTACATTAAGTATCAATCTATCCATGTCTCCATCTTGTCCGCATCCAGATAGGTCTAAATTATGTTCGCATCAAGTTCATGCCTTGTTGTTGCATAAACTCTACATCATCTATACATCATCAATTTACTTCTTACAGTTCGATATAAAAACCATCGCTTTATAAACAAAAATTTTATTAAATCAAAATCGTATTCTTACTAGACATCCTAATGTTTAGATTATAATAGTTGTTTTCATAGATTGAGTGCGAAACTTTAGAAAGAAGAGGTGGTGTTATGTTAGGGTTAAAGTTTGTGGGTAGTATCTTAATTGGGGTATAGCAAAAGGTCATGCATATTCAATGTGCGTCCTAGCAATTTGTTCGATGGTTGACCAGACTAACTATTCATGGTCTTGTAAAGGGTTGTAGATTCAACTACAGCGAAAGCACACCGGGTTTGTAACCTACTGCAACTTTGTTTTCAAATTTTAAAATGTTGCCAAACAAATTAGATATTCACGGTAAGTTTCCGAAATAAAATATTTAATAATACTCGGAATTCATATAAAATATAAAGAAAAGCGGCAAAAATGTTATGAATAAACCCTATAGAGTCTAAGAAAACCTCCGTTTACTAGAAATATAATTAACGTTATTTCTTCAACTTGAAATATTTCCGTCTCGGTTTCCTTTATATTCTCAAGTTCTTTTCTAGAACGAGGGAATAATATTTCGATCCTGTAATACCATTGTGCATTATAAAATTAATATCCGCTTTTCTTTCAAATTTCAATATCACCTTGATATATTTATTTGTAAAATTTATTTTTAACGTCAAGATTAATTATTGCATTAAGAAAACTAACTTTAAAGTTTCGAAACCTCCGTACTTCTTAAGAGTATTAAAAAATATTATACGCCTCTTCGTAAAGTTTTCTTGCGAGTTAGAAAGAAGTGAGGTGGCGCTCCCGTTCTATTTAATGGAGTGGTTTAAGGGCGTAGGACGATAAGAGGGCCACCTAGAGAAGGAGCGCGCTCACTTCTGGACGGATTAACGGCCTGGAAACTTCTAAGTGGATAAGCACCACGACGCGACGTCGGAAAACT